TTCTGTTTAGTCAGGCCAGGCTTCCGGAAGCTGACAGGGGATGAACTCTGCTGGGAATAAAAGCCTCTCTCTCTGATCTTGGTCAAGCCTGCTTGCTGGATGTTAGCTCCAGGCGCTCACCTCAGCAGAGAGATGCCTACCCCTGTCCCTCTGCTCTCACAACAGATGGGAGGGCAGAGAAAAGGGAAAGTGGCAAGGGCAACGAGCCCCATCAGCAAAAGCTTCCCCCCCTCCTCTTCACCACCACCATCACCCTTTGCACATCTCAAGCAGTTCCTTGTGTGCTGCGATTTCCACTCTCTCTGCAGTGCTATAGGTCCCCTGCTGGGCGGCAAGGCAGCCTGCAGCCAGGCTTTTTTTTTCTCTAGAGGAGACAAAGAAGCAGTCACAAAACAAAGGATGGATGTGTGAATGGGGTGAGGGGGACTGCGAGAGAGAGAGAGAGAGAGAGAGAGAGAGAGAGAAGATAAAACAGGAAGCAGCCACATGGGTGATTTGGAGACAATCTCTTTTTTTTGTACAAGATTGATTTATTAACTATGATACATATCACATAAGGCCTTTAAGTTTTTACACCATTCCCATTGAGACACATACAATACTCTGTAGCAAATACATGATTTTTTTCCCAACTCAGCAGAAAAGGGGCTTTTTATTTTGTTTGCCCAGAGCTTTCAACATTATCATGCACTAACTGGATTGACCTGGGGGGGAGGGAGGGGGGAACCACAAATTGTTAAAAATGTCCTTAAAAGAAGCATAAAAAGGAAATATATTCTATCACCAATAACTAAAGGAAGTTGTTAGGCTCCTAAAAATACAGAGAAATAACCATTATACTTTTCTTTACACACAGATCTTTCAGTATTTTTGAGTTTCCATGATGAATGTTTTGGCTGTATATTCAGCTGAACTAACACATTTTTATGACCATTAATGTTTTTTCTTCCTCTTCAATTGCAAAAATGTTAATTCAACATAGAGATAATTTTACATGTAAAAATAAAAGTACCAGGAAAAAAATATATAGAAGTTGAGTGCAGAACTAAATCCAACTTTTCAGGATGCTTTATCCCCATATAATTTGAGAAATAGATACGGCTTTTTTAATGTACACCAGGGTGGGGAGTAAGTTTTTTTTTCTAAGCAATAACTTATGCTCCACCTTAGGCTACATTTAAAATACAGCATTTCTATTGTATGCCATTTAACAGAAACAAAAAATGAAAATAAATCAGAGGGGGGGAAGGGGCTGTTTAAACCTAACAGTTAAACCAAGACCCATTACACAGGCAGTAGGGGGAAATGGTCCCACTTCCACTGAAACAGAACAGCAGACTAACATGAGCTGCAGTTTAGACAGACAGACAGACAGATCTTTGAGGATGCTGTTGGTCCCTATTTGGTCTGTGGACCAAAGCATATCCTACCAGCTGGTAAGAGAAAAAAGAGAGAGAAGAGAAGAAAGGGAGGGGAACCAAAGCCAAATGAACAAAAATGCTAAGTCAGATCTGGATGGTTCCTGCTGAGTCACAAGGATGAATGATCCAAGGAAGAAGCTAAGAAAATTTCTTTGATAACCACGTGTGTATCCTAGCTGATGAGTCCCAAAGCTGCAAAAAAGAGGAACTCAAAGAGGTTGACAAGCCTTAAAATGTCTGTCATACTCATCCACTGGAGATGGATTTTGTGTGTTTCAAAACGGAAGGAAACAGCACACGTTTGCTGTGTTTGCAGCAAACCCCAGCAACTCTAGGAGAAAAAGACACGATAACCTTAGCACCAAACATTTGGGCGAGCAAGGCAGGCCCTGCAGGCTTCCATGAAAATACACAAGCAAACCAATCCAATCTGTGCAAAGAAATATTTTACCACTTCCAAGGGTGCAAGACCAGACAACAGATGGGAAATCTTGGGATGAAAGATCCTTTTGTGCACTCTTCATTATTACGTCACCTGCCTCCCCCAGCCCCATGAAAGCCCAGAACCCAAGCAATTCTGATGGCCCATCCCAGCTTTTGAAATGCCTATGTACATGTGCAAAGACCATCAAAATGGTACAGAAACTGACATAGGGCATTTAGTGTGTGCAAAGGGATAAATGTTGATCCTGCAATGATCGGATGTAGGACGTCAACTTATTGAGCAAGTGGTAGCTAGCCTGAAAAGAACACTTTCCAATCAAAAGAGTCTTAAGTAGTTTAGTTCCTTCCCAAGGGGAGGGGTATCTCTATTTATGTCAGCATTTCTTTCCACACTCCTTCGCTCCCTGCATCTAGAAAGCTACGTGGGATTAGTCAGGGGGCCAAATATTCTTAAATATCTCCCTTTTTTCAGCAAGATAACTGAAGTCAGAAGCACGAAGCCACAACTGAAGAAAATGAGAGAGCAGGCTCCTCAGCTCCCTGACCATCTGACCCCAATTTTCATCGTTGTGTGACATGACAGAAGAAACTTTTCCAAAACACAGTCACTAAAAACTAACCTGCAGCAAATAATTTATTTGAAGGACCACATCCAGGCAATAATTAGGCTGTGGAGCAGGATTCAAAGCGCTGCAGAAAAGCAGGAAACTGAAAAGAGTGCTGTGTGCTGAAGAAGGACCTCTGAGATAACAGGCTAGCAAGAATGGCTGTTCCTAATACAAAGAGATGTTGATAAAGAGGCCTTCCAGAGGGAGATGTTTAGCCTCAGATCTTTCGAGAAGGCACAGAAACACACGCCTCACACAAAGAGAACTCACCTATTTCAAGTAGAAAACAAGATGGCCAGCCAACATAACTTGTGCCTGAAACAGAAGCAAGCAAACAAACAAAAAGCCAGCCCCCAGCCCAAGATCACAATTCAGCACCATGAAGTGACCCTTCCTGGTTGTCAGCTGAAGAGCAGGAAGAAATCTCCCAAGCCCACTTGTCACCCTCAGCCTCCTTTCCTGCAAGATTTCTTATCTTAGTATTATGCATGCATAATTAAAGGAAGGTGAGATATTCTGTTTTCCTCTTAACTGCCTAAAATAAACCCGAACCATTTCCGGTATTTACACATAATCTCCATCTTTTAATGCATGAGAATATAAAAACTTGGGAGGAATGCTTGCAAGGGACACTTTCAAGCACACAATCCTGACACAGAAACAACTTTTAAAATGGGATTCTAAAATAAAGGAATACATAATTCAGCTTATTTATAAGAGAGAGTCAGCTTGCTGAAGACTGGGCTCTGAATGCCAGAAAGGAGCAGAATGAAAGCAGAGTTTTATTTTTGAAAAGGATTAGGGGTTTCTTTTCTCTCCCTCCCCAGCAACAGAATTTAACACAAACATCCTTGAAATGCCAAAAATAGCAATAAACCACAGGTTCTGTTTTAAAGTGCGAAGAGACAGAAAAGGATGGCATAGGGATTGCGTCCCTTGTGTCCTCCCAGTGGTACCATGGAAACTCCAGTTAAAACTGTCCTGTTAACAAGGTGTAGAACTCATATCCCACCACATATCTCTCTCTCTCTCTCACACACACACACACACACACACACACCAGTTTATCAGGCAATGCTGATATACAGCCACCATTTGGCTGGCCTGCACAAGAAACAGTTATTTTTCTTAGTGGTTCACTTCTAGTTCTTCCCTGCACGGAAACCCCATGCAAGATGCAAGGGGGGGGGAGCACAGGAGACACAGTAGCAAAGCGAGGTGTGCTGCACACCCAAGGTGAAGCCCAGCTGGGAAAAGATCACTGGGTTAAGGGCTGACATGGACATACAGTGGCTTCAACTGAAGGCAGAGAAGGAAAGGACACTGTGCAAGAGAGTGATGAACAGCAGACGCAGGCTATGCACAACTGCAGGTTGTGCAGGGCAACATGTGGAATGGAAACAGAGATGGACTGCAGGTATAAAAAGCTCAGGTGTCTCTGAATTCAGATTATGACACACCACCTTGTTTCAGTAGTGCCAGCAGGGCAGGTAATCCAAGTTACCTAGGGTTTTGCCCAAAACTTCAAGAAAGCTACCACTACCTTTGGCCCTGGGTGCTACTTCCTGTGACATGCAGCCACTTCCCAAGCCACTACAGGAACAAGCAGTAGCAAAAAAACTGAGGGGAAGAAAGTTGGGTTTCCCCCCTCTGCCCCAAGCAAGCCACTTTCATCATTTGAGTTGAAATGGTTGGAAACAAACCATAATGAATCGTCTTCTTCTCCTTCTTCTTTTTCAAGTGTTAACAAGTAATTCCAGCCAGGTTCCGGGTCTCAGTGACATGATCACAGCTCTGGTGATGCCCCTTTATTAGCTCGCCTGTTCCAAATGTAGATCTGGAGGGGTGAAGTGGGGAATGAACAGGCTTGCCCTTCCCTCAGTTTTCACTCCAACATCTGGTTTTCCACTTTAAAACACTGGCAGCTTTTCTTTTCTTTTTAAAGAAAGCAATGGTTCAAGATGCATCACTTGCTTCCACCCCATGCCTTCACACGACACACACATACACTCACACACATAGATTAAGAACAGTGTTTCTGTCAACATAGTGTGTCAAAGGAACTCGACCCCAAACCAAACAACAAAACATCGACTTTGTTTGCAAAATGTGCACGTGTTTGGCCTCTACTCTTCTCCTCTGTTAAGTGCTAACACCAATATTCTGCTTGGAAAGGGGGGAGAGGGAGGTAAGAGATATGTAGTGATCGGTCAAGTGAAGAGAGCAAGATCAGCTCAATCCGCCTGGACTGCCCTCAGCCCACCCCACTCCTGCCACACACACACATTCTCTGCCCAAGTAAAAAGGAGCCCAAGGTCCCACGCCTACATTGCCAGATTAAAAATAATCAAACTGGCAGGTAGGTGGGAATGTCCCATTTCTCTAGAGTTCTTTGATTCTTTCGAGGGGACTGTCTTCCCACGTTGTTCAGCCATTACTTAAAAGTCTAGAGAAAGTTACATATCAGCCTTGCCAAAACAATTTTTAAAAGGCTTCTTTTTTGGAGGTGAAGGCCCAGGCTATCTGAGCAGCTTGGCCTGGGATGGTGCTACTTGGTCTGAACTGTAAACATGGTCCCCAAAGATGGACGAGATGTCCCACGCTGCAAAACAGACCTCAAACAATGGAATGTGTTGGGACGAGGGGCTCCATCTCCCGACAGGCTTCAGCAGTTTCTCTTTGTTCATGCACAGGCTAAAGAGGAGAAGAGATTGGAGAGGTTCTCAAAGACTCATCCAAAACCTAAGTCCCACCCAGCTGGGCTTGACAGCGGTCGCACGGTTCGATGGGTCCACTTCAGCCAGAACGAATCTGGATGGAACAAGAGTCCATTTCGAAAGAGAGAGAGGTATGTTATCTCTCCTGCGCAGAGGAAGGTCCAGCACCACCCTCAATCCTGCAGGTCCTTCTAGGCCAGGCACTGAGGCAGAACCAAGGCTGCTCATGGGTCTAAAACTCCCAGCTCGCTGCTGCTCTACCAAGTTACCGCTTAGCACAGCTCAAATTTGCAACAGAGTGGAAAGGGGAGAGGGATGCCAGGGCTGAGTTTCCAGTCTCTGTTCTGTGATGAGGACAGAAGCCGACCATTCACTTTTCTCCTGCACTGGGGTTCACAGTGAGTGCTGCTCAGCCTGAAGCTGTGGCGGAAGAAGTGGCTGAAGAGGAGACTGCGGCGATGGAGGAGGAGTCTGTGGAGGAGATGGCTGGGCCATCACAGGAGTGGAGGAGAGGAACGGCGTGCTGGCAGGAATGGTGGAGGGAGAGCTGGGCATGGCACCAGGGGGCTCGATGATGGGCCGATGGTAGAAAAAAAAGGGACACTGTTGGATGAAGAGTTCTATGATTGTCTGATAAATGCGTGTGGCAGTGAGAGCATCCATGGTGCTGAAGTCAGGCCTCATCAAGGTGGGCCAGAAGCAAATGGAGAGGTTCTCACTCGTCATGAGATTGGTTCTGCTGTTCTGGCTCACTCTGTAAGATATGGAGACATCATTAGCAAGGTCTGTTCACAACCATGGAAGACAGGGAAGACTCCCAAGGACAGCATCTTCCTTGTGGGCAGGCGGTCTGCCCAGCATACAGTCAAGGTTTGTGGTGGGAAAGGCTACCCTTCCCCTCCACTCACCTGCACACTGGCTTCCCTTATAGGCATGGATGTGGCACCTGCACCAATGCCTGCTGGCAGTTGCCAATACCCCAGCCACACCCACTTCATGCCACTAGGAAGCCAGAGTAATGTACAGAAACAAGGACTGTAAGGCTCGTGGCCATCTTAAAAGGGAAGGACAGTTACAGGGCAGTGGAGGTAAAAGAAACAAGGCAGATTTAGGGGGCTTGTGGGACATGCCAGGAACTGTTGTGGCCCGCAGGTAAATGCAGGCTTGCTTAATTGAGAAACATCTCAAACTGTGGACTAGCTGGTTATTACATGCTGATCAACTTTTTATTCAGACCAGTCAGAATGATAAAATGAATGGGAATGCAATTATTCTGCTTCCTCTCTTTCTAAGAGTGAAACAGGGCCACCATTCTAGATTAATAAATATAGAACTTAAACTTGCAAAAATACATGCAAACCAATAAAGAAGAGTGGAAAAACCCACATCCTTTAGCTGCCTTTTTTTTTAACCAGAAGGCTATTAGATTGATGCCAAGAACACACCTTCAAGTACTGCAAGATTATTATAACCTCTATTAGCAGCTGTAAGAACAGAACCAAAGGGCTGGTGGTGATTTTGGACTCATTAACTCGGAATGTAAGAGCACAGCCTTGCAAATATGACCTCCACCAAGCAGTGAATGCCCTCTGGACGTGGTTAATGAAAGTAGGGAGACAGCAAACCTAATGCAGCTCCCACAAAGCGCTGCTGCCAATTTCTGGAGTAGCAGGATTTACCAAGTTTAATGAGACCCCTGACAAATGCAGGCTGGCTTAATTGGAAGAAATGTCAGGGAACAGATTCACTTCAGGCAGGGTCCACTGCCCCATTGTGGCTGTGAAATGACCCTACATGAGCTATACACGTTTTCAATGCCCGTTAAAAAGACAACAGCTAAAAGTAAGGTGCCTCCCCACCTGCATTACACAAAGACAAAAAACACACATGGAACATACTTGTTCAAATGAGAGATCACATATTTGAAGACCTCATAGTTCTCCTTGGGAAACTTCTTCAGCACTTCTTTAAGTGCCTGCAACTTCTGCTCTCTGTCGTTGATTTCTGTTTTTTAAAAAAAAGCAAGGATCACAATGTAGGATTCCTCAGGAAGCAAAGGGCATCTACAAGCCTCCACTGTCCCAATTCAGTTTGAGAAGTGTGTCGTTAGAAATTGCTCAAGTTCGTTCAAACATTTGGCTGAAAATATGGCAAGGTCTCCCCAACATGTCTGAAATCTCCAAGTCCAAGAACCCTCTTGTTAACCAGAAGAGCCAAGACAGACCACTCTTTGGACACCACAAGCTCCATGAGAAACCACCGTAGCCGATTTCTAGGCAATTAAAATTATTACCATTCCTTTCTCACCATGGTAAGGGCAAGTGCTCAACCACAGCCAGTGTACAGACTGCATTTCTTCTGTAGTTCTCTCTTTGCAATGGCTATCCTCATATGTTAGGAAAATAATGCAAACTGGAGCTAACTCTTAGGAGCTGGAAATGGCTAGGGTGTTGAAATAAAATGGACAAAAGTTTCACCATTCCTTTTTTTTCAATAACTATGTCTCTTTAAACATGAAGGCTAGAAACATATTTCTGCAAAGTTAAAGTCAGATCATCAAGTTTTAAACAAGTGCTTATAGGCAAGTCTATGAAGGCAAGACACAGCCCACTTTTGCTCTGGAAAGAAACAGCTGTAAAATAAACTGTTGAACTGGCCAGCCATTTATATTCTTCTTCTTTCACAGGTAGGACAGTATTGCTACCTGTTGATTTCAGAACTTCCAGTGTGCAAATATGACCATGTCGATTTTACACACAACTAACAGACTTTCCTTTGAAAGGACTTTGCTGCTCCCACGCTGTAGCATCCTTTCAAGCAGGCAAGGATCACAGAAGGAGATTTATCACCTGAGCAGACACAGTTTCTTGTCCTTTTGGAGATGGTCTTTTCATATACAAACACTATGTCAGGAACAAGCATCATTTCCTAAAAATCCCATTAAAGCCACTTCTAAAGCAAAGGATGCCAAAGCTTATACTCAGCTTGGGTGGACTAAGCAAGCTAGATATTTAAACTTGGCTCCATGATAAGTGATTTCCAAGCTTTGCCATCTGCGATTATGTCTGGTGCTAAATCCAGGAATGGACAAAGGGTGAATTTTAGGTGCAAGAAGACACCATTGCCTTATATTTTAGCACTAGCAGGAAGGCTATGAAGGGTGACCAGATATCTCCCAGACTGATTAAGGCCTCAGACAGGAGATAGGCTACAGGTAGGCACTTAACAACCTGGCCAGTTTGTTTCAAAACAACTTAAGATGAGCATGCTGTGAGCACCAAATCAAGTACAAATATTGAATTTTAATTTAAAAAATCAGACAGAAGTCATCTAAGAAGAAAGTGATGGAACTCAAAATTTTACAACTCTATTATCATAGGCCACTGATTAGACCAATTAAAATACACAGCAGCCATTGCCATGACAGTCCTGTGACCCCAGATTCTACATAACTGTGCTTTCTGGTGAAACCATTACATTTCTTGCCAGATAGAACAAGCTATACTTTGAATCAACAGAAACCTGGAGCAGTACTTTGAGGAAATACATGGGCTGCATATCACCAATGTATGCTTACTGGTCAAAAATCAGCTGTGGATAAAAACCTGGACTTTCAATTAGCACTGACTGAGATCCAAAGTCCCATGCTGTAATAAATGTGTACCTCTTTCCTTTGGGGCATTTCAATTCAGTAGCAAAAGCCTTTCTGTATTAACCTTCCTGGTATCACAATTTCAAAATATTTTTCTTCTGAACTCTGGGACAAAGGCCAGAGACAATTTCATCTCTCCCTTCCACAATCATGCTGATTTACTTCTATAGTGCTAATTATATATGCTAAAAGATTTGCTTATATCCTAATGTATTCTAATACTCCAACTATCATTCAGAACAACTTACAAAAAGCTAGCCAACTCATCTTGTCACATGATAATAAATACAACAGTTCATCTTAAACTGCCAAGAGTCAGTTAGATAGCAATATATGAATGGCTTGTTTCTTATTTGATATAATCAAATTTATATCCTGCTCACTGTCTGATGCTGATGTGGGACAACTTCCCCATGGACCAGCTCCTTGGCTCAAATCTGCTGCTTCCCTTAATGGCACCCAAAACATACAGCCTCAGGCTGTTACTTTACTTTGCTCCATGATATACCTGCCTCTGTTGGAAAAGAGGCCGTTCACATGCTTTCATTCTGTTCCACCAGTTAAGTTGAAATTGTTTTTCTTACCAAGGTTAAAAAAATAATAATAATATCAACAAACCGCTGCCTCAGCAGTTCTCACACACAATGGAATTATCTTCCATGCTATTTTGTTTTCTAGCTCTAGATGGCACCACAGCAGGACTTACATCTGTTCACAAAATCCCTTGAGGATGGGGATAAGATAAAATATTTTAAATACTTCTGCCAGAGGAAAAACTTCAGCTCTTCTGAGACTTGTGTATGTGTCAGTTTTAAAGCTGATCCATTATTGTGCTGCAGCATAATGTGTCCAGACAATTTTTTAAAAATCTGAAAAGTCCTTTGAGAATCTCTTTGGCTACAATGCAGACCAACATTTTTTAACCCATAACCTATTTCTTTAAAATGGCAGGCAGCCCTTGACTGGAACAGCCCACCAGCATCCAGAAACTGCCAAGGCTTAAAATGCTAACCCTCTGTTCTACCATCTGACTTCAGTTCTTTATTCAGGTGGCAGCTTAGCACATATTTGGGGAAACAAGATCAGTTTCTCTATCAGCTTCTGCTGCTACTACTCACAGCCACCTTATTAAAAGCTTATCCTTCTCAGTCACATTTTCTCTGCTTCATCGATGTTTACTTTGTTTTTTAAAATATTGGGCACAATTTCACAGGACTAGCCAGCATCCAGCAGAAAATTCCCTGTCTCCTTTCTTCGATGCTAAGTGTCTGCATGTTCCTTCAAGAAGGGGCAGCCTGTTTACATGGAAGGACTGCCATTATGTGTTTTCAGGGCTGGGGAGGTCGTGCAGTCCTTAACCTGCAATCATTAGTCAGAAGCAATAATTTGGATAAGATAGAGTGGGAAACCCCTTTGAGATAGCTCCTAAAAGCAATCTTGATCTAATAGGTGGCTAGGGGTTTCTTCTAATGTTCTGTGCAAGGCCCCTAATTTAAATAACACAGGCTAAGCAGCATCTTCAGCTGCAGAGCAGCATAGAGCTCTAACAATAATAAATGCCAAACACCAACCAGCTACAGAGGAACAACTCTCAGGTGTGTTTGTCTTGCCAGATACTGCTTTTGCTGGGGCAGCCAAATGCACATAAACTGACAATCACAAAAAGCAGGCACAGAAATTAGGACGCAGTAAGAATCAAGAGTCTCTGTCTCAATAAAATAAGCAGCTCTGAGAAAAACTGAATTAAGTCGTTAGTCTTGGATCTATAAAAGCAAAAAAAAAACAGATGTACAATGATGTCTGAAATGTGTATGGTTTTCATAGTCAGGTAGGTACATATTTAAACTAGTGTAGATCCTGTGGCATTAATTCTGCAGCTGCCATCTTCCAAGATGACCAGCACATAAATGTGGATCTAAAATAACTCAAGAGGTTACAGAACTCTTTTTGGTAGCAAAATATGAGTGTTTCAAGGGATTTCTTCTGATTTTTTCCACCTAAATCCAAGTCATTTACTAAATAACAAGAGATATGCTAGTGTACCTAGCTGCCTGGGGAATTCTAGGATGTAGTCCAAAATCACAAACCTATACTGTACATTTCTACTAGCCATTGTAAACATGACGATCGATACTCACTGTGGGCCTCCACCAGCTCAATCTGCATGTTGTAAGGTACCAGGGGATCAGGGAGTTCAGAGAAGAAACTTTTCATGGCTCCAGCTACAGCATTCACAGTGAAGTCCTTCTCTGCAAAATCCAGGTTATGATCTAAAGGAAGAGGTTTTCAAAAGTTACATTTCACAAATCACAACTACCAAGCTGCTGCAAGAAGACACCCAACAGAAGAGAGATCCTCAGTGAAAGATCAGCTTTTATTACCAGCACTGCCTCATACGGCTGACAGGGGATGTTTCCATTCAGGGGTTTAAAGGCTGTAAAGGAGAACCCCCAATGTGTTAATTCCAAGACCCTCTTCAAAAAAGGAGGGTAGCCCTGCCCTGCCCTGCCCTCCTGCTATGTTCCTGTAACTCTGCTCCCCACAACACACTTTGGTACAGGAATAAGGAGACAAGACAAGCAGGCAGACAATTGTTGGCTTCCACTGCCTTTCTACCTGCTGAGCACACCAAGCTCACAGTATCCTCTGGGCACTCACTGTTCCAGCTACTGAGCTGGGCAATACTGCTGATAATAGATTTCTGCCAGTGGAACTGCACCACAGGTGTCCAGACCTGTTCTCTAACAGCAGGAGCGTACCCTCCACCCGATCCACGGGTACCTCTTAATAAGGCTTTAGCACTACTCTGTAATTCAGATATTATTGCTATCATAGATAAGAAAGCATTACTGAACACTTTGGAAAGTGAATCTGTAATCTGTGACATCCAAGTCCTGGTACATACAGTTATGTATACACAAAATGACAGAAACCTGTATTTCTGCCTTGCACATGGAAAGCTCCTGAAACACCCACCTGTACATCGCTTAGGTATTTCAGCACATTCAATCCTAAGGAACACAAAGAGATTGCTCTTACCTTGATCAAATTGCCGCTGTAAGCTTTCCATCTCAGACTTGTTGCCACTCACCCGATAGATACCTTCAGTACTCAACCCTACCGGAAAGAAAATAAATTACTATAGAGCAAAAATAAAAATCTGAAGAAATTGCCACTGGAAAGGAAATATCTTTGAAGATCACAGAAGAAAAGTGTCTGAGGGGAAAGACTGAACACAGAGCTATGTCGTGAATTAGAAACTTTGGTTAAATATTTAATACTTAATATATATTATGATTAAATGTTCAAAATATGTTACAAGACTCAGCTAACCTTTATTTTCTCTCAGTCACCAAAACTCTCTACGGCTTAAATTGTTAAAAGGGAGAAAGTATAGAGTTCCAGAAGGAATACACTCTTAAGCAGCTAACAGCAACACCGGGCAAGGAAGGAAAAGAGCTTCAAGAGTGGGGCAGCAAACATTTTCCATCAGCCGCCACCACACAAGTTTAACATTTTACATGGTATCCTTCTTAAGGCAAACTGCTTTGGGAGCCTACCATAGCTGTAAAGCAGAATTCAAAACACCTACGTTTCTGATTAATAAAAATTATTTATTCTCCTTAAGAAACTGGAAGAAATTAACACTTCCCTAGATTATAGACAAAGAGTCAGACATGACTTAATGACTAAACAACAACAACAAAAGATCATAGACAGATACATAGACTGAAAAGGAACACAAAGGATCTATGCTGGAGCATTCTGCAAAGTTCCATATATTAAGTGAACTATCACACCAACTCCCAAGAGCAAGAACTAAGAGTCATGGTACGTAAAATAAGTTGTGCCTGGGGAAAACAGCCTTGTAACCATGGAAGAGTCTATCCATGTATCGTCTCTGTAAACATAGAATAAACCAGTGCTACTTTAATTAAACAGGTGCTTTATTTTTATTTTATTTATTTAACGTATTTGTCCTCACTTCTACCATTCACTCCAAAAAGCACGTTCCTGGTACTAGCCCGAAAGAATTAGCTACAGAGACTGTCACTCATGGGCATGCTGCAAGAGGAACAGAAGAGACATCTTTTTCAAGGCCAGTGTTGATTAATCCGCAAGGTGGATCCTCAAATACAGAAAGAGTTTTCTCTGCCTTACCACCCAAATGCTTTTTAACTTGACGCATAAAGGACTGAACCTGGCAGAACTATCTATATAGAAAGAACACTTTTCACCACTAAGCTCTGCTCTCCCCCAGGACAAATGCTGAAGCAGAATTTTAAGGAATCCGCCTACAAATCAATTAATTTCCGGCTTAAATCTTCACCAGATCACAAATCCATGTGGTGGTTTGGGGCAGGGCACTCTCTTATAGTTACGCCCCTATCTACCTACCTTACAAAACTGTTACAAATATTACAAATAATATGTGTACCATGTACAAATAGTAAGTGTGTATATAATAATAAACATTTCACACTGAAAACCACTATATAAATCCCAAACATTACTGCAAGGTGTACATGCTTCATTATTTTCAAGGTTTAAGATGTGCTTCTGTACTGTTTGAATGACTGTTTTTTTTTTAAAAAAAAAGCTTAAATATATTTTTACATGCAATTTGCAGCCGTTTCAAACAGGAATGTAAGAGAGGTATCTAAATTGGCAATAATATATCTAAAAAACCCAAGACACCAAAGAACAAACGTGGTTGCTCCTACTGGAAAGGACACCTTCTTTTAATGAATTTGCTGGGAAGGGAAAGTAGAATGTTTCAAATAAGCAACTATTTTAATTACCACTTTCTAAGAAGCTAGTATTTGGTGGGATAAAAGCGGAAAGCATGCCTGTTTCCCAGCCCATGGATAGATTGATGATAGGTGAATATAGGCTGACGAGGATTTATACAGAGGACAGGTCATCAACTGCATGGCTTAAAAGCTCTAATTGCTATAGAGGCTGCCTGTACAGGGACCTCATTTTATAGAAAGCAATTCACCTCATCAGAGAGGGAAACTGGGTTAATGGACCAGCCCAGAAGGCCGTATAATTCCAAGCCTGGAACAAAAGAGCCACTGTGCCTATGCAACAGCGAAAGGGAAAGCAGCAGCTGTTGCTGCCATTTGTCTTCATATCGCCTGAAGTCCGAGCAAACGTGTCAATGGACAATAATGGAAAAAACATGAAACACAGACACTAAGTACCAGCACTGCCTGCTAGAAGTAGCCCAGACCATAAAGCAAGGTGAGGTGGGTGCTTCAGGCCACTGAATTCCAGGCACTGTTAAGGACAGAAGATTTGGGGAGGGGGGTTAACACCAATCTGGCCTAAACGATATTAATCCAAAGGGATGTTCTCCTGAGCCAGAGTGTTCTCATTCAGATCTTTTTTGTTTAAATGTAGCTTTCACAGGTGACATTCCAATGGCCATTTGCTACCTGAGGTGATAAAACACCTAAAAACAATCCCCTGATTATGAAGAAGTTTTTTTCCCCACCTGCATACTCATGCTCTAATTTCCACCTTCGGCCCTTTTAAGGAGAAAGGCAGGGTAAAAATATTTAAAATAAATCCTCCACAAGCTCTGTGCTCTGGTTAACAAGTTTAATCCCAAACACACTGTGCTGCACCAAACTGAACAAAGCCAGCCACTTTCTGTGACAAGAAGCTGGATGCTACAGAATTAGAAGTCAGTATATGCCTGATTGATGAACAACGCACAACAAAGATTAAAATGGGACATGAGAGCAGCATTGTCCTTAAAAGCCAGACTATGCAGTAATGCATACAGCAAACAAAACAGGAAATTCTTAAGATGGGTTTGTAGTAACTACAAAATTAATGCTGGCCCCAATCTTTTCCTAGAATGTGAAGAGCTTCTCACAGATATATCACTTCCCTATTTCTTCTCAACTTGATCAGTAACACCTAGACCACAACAATAAAATATCAAGTGTCTATGACTTGGGAGGAGAGGCACAAGCCTACAGTAGCTTAAATGCAATTCAATAAACTTGAGATGAAAGCAAGTTGAGTGTAAAAGCCACTCCACTGTATAGAAACTGCAATGTTTAATAATAGGCTCAATATTTCCTGCAATCCACTTCCATGTTTATGTTATAAAATCCTGTTTTACACCAGTCCTGATGACACACACAAAAAAACAGGCAGGCTTCATACAGTGAGAACAGTATGTGAGCTATTATAATATACTTGTCCATGTGCCAGGAAGAAAGGAAGAAAGAGCAACTGCTTTGCAGAATACAAGTGATAAGGTCACTTGGCTGTAAAGCATATTTGAGAGGGTCTAATCACACACACTTCATAGAGATATAGGTTTGTATTCTGTCGGATATTCTTGCCCAGATAAACATGGCTACTTCTTCAAAAACTAGGTATGCTGCCACCTGTCACAGCTGCACATCCAGCTGTAACATGTAGGAATGGAAGGCACTACAGCTTAAGCAGAAAAAGCAAGGACTACATGACTACAGAAAGCCCTTCAGGGGAAGTAGAACTTCTGAAGCAGAGGAAAGGCTCCGTACTTTAGATCTTCCTATATTAGCTTCAGAAACCATATGTGCACACTGTCACTATGGATTTTTTTTTCTCTTAAAGCAGAAAAGTTTGATTTCCCAAGACTGGCCAAACTACAAGAGGAATCACCATGCCTGTGGACAGTAGAAAACTGCTGCTTTCCAAATGGAGGAGTTTATATTTGTTGGTTGTTGTGGGTTTTTCAGGCTCTTTGGCCGTGTTCTGAAGGTGGTTCTTCCTATATTTGTTGTTGTTTAGTTGTTGTGTCCGACTCTTCATGACCCCATGGACCAGAGCGCGCCAGGCCCTCCTGTCTTCCACTGCCTCCTAGCGTTTGATCAAATTCATGTTGGTCACTTCAATGACACTGTCCAACCATCTTGTCCTCTGTCGTCCCCTTCTCCTCTTGCCTTCACATTTTCCCAACATCAGGGTAAGTATATTACAGCTAACAAAAATTCCTCAGTGACTTCCTACACAAGCCCATGCACTCCTTTCCTCACACCTCTCCTAGAGAAAGTTATAACAGAACATCCACATTTGAAAAGAACACACATGACATCACTTGGTCCATGGCTGTACCCTCGTTCTCGCAATGCCTAATCTAGTTCAAGTTATGACCCGAGAAATCCAAGAGTTTCAAGACATGGAGAACATTCACATATTAGAATAATCTCATAATTATGAGGCTACTGTTTATTACAAAGTATGCAGCCATTTTTTTCCTCAAGCGACCAGTTATTCTCAAACACAGCCACTATTTGTTAGTTCAACTGATTTTATGCATGTATCAACCCTAATAGACACCTGTGATTATTAGCTACTGAAAAGAGGAGCCTTAATTCTTTCAACACTTGCGAGGAATGTTAAAAGAAATAGTAATACATAAAACATAATACTTTTGTAAATGAACCTATTCTTTTTCATTAGAACTAGCAATTGGAGAAAAACTAATAATTCAGAATATCTTTATTAAACTTCCACTGGGTTCATCATGTGCAATAGAGGGTTACCTCTGATTTAGCTTACTACAAGAAAATATGTGAGAAGAGCTGGAACACTAGTGCTCTATGCATGCTGAGTCTTTTTATAACACAGGAAAGCTCAGAGTTACAAACTGGCTGTTTTTTATTTACAGCCACTCTGTTTTGCAACATCATTCTCAAGGATTCTTAATGTTGATGTACTAAGTAAATGGCATCCAGAATCTACTTTCACATAAACATTTCATTTCTCGGAGTTCTTAACCAACCTTTCAACACAGTGTTTAATTCCCAATCTATATTTAGCTTGCTTTCTGCAACATTACAAATTATTGAGAAGATGTCTGTTGAGGAGTTAATGCCTGAATGGGCCAAGTCTGCAATCATTTGTCATGACAATAATGTGTTGTTTTTGAGGGAAAACCTTTTGTTTTAAAGCACTCAAAGGAAACCACCCTGCTCTGGTTCAAACATTTTAAAAGAATCTTTCAATATGAACTCTTATGATTTAATTTCAAGAAAGCCTGATAGAAGAAAGCCTTTATATTTTTACTTCCCTTCCCACTCAGCCTCTATGATTAATACATGCATTTT